CTTCTTCTTCTTCTTCTTCATCGTTTTCCTCTCTAACTAGTTTCAGACCCTTAGAACCCTAAGATTTGGAGCTGTAAATCCATTATCTCCTCGCCATGACCGAGCCCAAGCCCGATTCCGATCACCTATCTCCGTTTTTCCCTAAATCTCATCGTTCCGGTGCCGACGACCGGAACCCAATTATGGATTTCGATCTCGATTTGGATATTCCTTGGCCGTTGGATCAAACCCCTTTGTTTTCAACTTCCGATCATCTTGCTTCGCCTCTTTGGGCCTTCTCTGAAGCCGATGATGGCGAGGATTCCAAATTTGCTGCCTATGCTTGCTCTGTTCTTGGTGAGCTTCGATTCTGTTTTGCGTTTGTTTTTACCGCTTTTTGTCTAATTTGTTGTTTGATTTTGATTTAACTGAGTGGATCGTCTTCTCATAAGGGTTGAAATCGGAACACCTTTTTTCCGTTTGTTTCTTTGACTGTTTGAGTGCGTTTTTGGACTTGTTTTCTTCAAATTTCTTTTATGAATCAGTGAGGTTTTGAATGGCTTGGTGTTTATGCCATTTAAGAACAAGGAACGAAGGCTACTATGGGATTGAAAGCCTGAATCAATACTTTTTGCTTTACTTTTTCATCCTGTTTTGGTATTTGTTTGATTGTTCTTCAGATATATGATTCCGTATGGCGTTTCTGGATGCTACTTTTCTGTCAGTTCCAATCTTGTCATCTTGAGTTGATATTGTGTTCTTGGATTTAGTTAGAAGGATTCTTTTCCATTTAAAATGGCTTAACTGTACAGCTGAGAGCAGGTACTTCCAATTTGAATTCGGTACCGCAAAAGCCGATCGAGAATCACAAGTTTAAGATTCTTCCCGTTCCGTCCGAGAATCCAGATGGGTATTGCTTGATCAAGGAAAAAATGGCGCAAGCTCTTCGGTACATTAAGGATTTGTCCGACCAGCAAGTTCTAGCTCAGGTTTGGGCACCTGTAAAGAATGGTGACAAGGTTGTACTTTCGACTTCCGGGCAACCGTTTGTTCTTGATACGCAGAGCAACGGGCTTCATCGGTATAGGTTGGTCTCTTTGACGTATATGTTCTCTTTGGACACTGAGTTGGATGGATCTCTCGGTCTCCCTGGTCGTGTTTTTCAACAAAAGTTGCCTGAATGGACTCCAAATGTGCAGTATTACTCGAGCAAGGAGTATTCACGACTTAGGCATGCTCTTGATTATAATGTTCAGGGAACTTTGGCTTTGCCTGTTTTCGACCCTTCGGGGCAGTCTTGTCTTGGTGTTCTCGAGCTAATCATGACTTCACCGAGGATCAATTATGCACCTGAGGTGGACAAAGTCTGTAAAGCTCTGCAGGTTTGAGTTGTCTTCCATTTGTTGAATTACTCGAGTGTTGTCTGGATCTTGATTGTATTGGACAAAGCATATGTCGTGTTTACCGATCATAAACGTTTTTGCTCATTTTATAAATCTCTTTTCCTGCAGGCTGTTAATCTAAAAAGTTCAGAGATTTTGGATCGTCCGAATATCCAGGTCACTTTTGCATTCCGAAAGATGAATATTGTATAGCTTGTTCTTTTTCGCTCGTTCTCACGTATACATACTTCGCAATGCTTTCAGATTTGCAACGAAGGCCGACAGAATGCGCTGGCTGAAATCTTGGCCGTACTCACCGTTGTTTGTGAAACCCATAACTTACCATTGGCTCAAACCTGGGTTCCGTGCAGGCACCGAAACGTGCTCGCCAATGGTGGAGGTTTGAAGAAAAGCTGTACTAGCTTTGATGGTAGTTGTATGGGGCGGATCTGTATGTCTGCAACTGAAGTAGCATCCTATGTTGTTGATGCTCACAAGTGGGGATTTCGCGAGGCGTGTTTAGAACACCATTTACAAAAGGGTCAAGGGGTTTCGGGGAGAGCGTTTTCGTCTCACAGCTCGTGTTTTTGTGGAGACATCACTCAATTCTGCAAGAACGAATACCCTTTGGTACACTACGCACTCATGTTCGGATTAAAGAGCTGTTTTTCGATCTGCTTACGGAGCAAGTTTACTGGAGACGACGAGTACATTCTTGAATTCTTTCTGCCACCGAGCCTCGTTGATTATCAGGAACAAAAGACTTTGTTGGGTGCAATGATGGCAACAATGAAGCAGCATTTCTACACTCTCAAAGTTGCCTCTGGAATCAAACTTGAGGAAGGAGGAATTGTCGAAGTCGTTCAAGCATCAAGAAACGGAGGGTTCGAATCAAGACTTGAATGTATTCATATTCCACCCGAGTCTGATGCCATGCCGAACACGGGAGAGGTAGCTGCCTTAGAAACATTACAACAACGTTCTTTAATGGTTCACGATGCCCCAAAGGACGAAAACAATACTGTTCGGGACAGGGAAAGCGACAACCCCGTTCCTTGTGTCCAGAATAAGGAAGTGAAAAAAACGTCCAAAAGGAAGCGCGGAAAAGCCGAGAAGTCGATTAGTCTGGACGTTCTTCAACAATATTTTGCTGGTAGTCTTAAGGATGCTGCTAAAAGCCTTGGCGGTATGTTCTTCACTCTGCAGTTTAATTTCATAAAAGCTATGCTTGCATATCTATATGAACACTTTTTTTCACTTCGACAGTTTGTCCGACAACAATGAAGCGTATCTGTAGGCAACACGGGATCTCACGGTGGCCATCTCGAAAGATCAATAAGGTGAATCGCTCTCTTTCAAAGCTAAAACGCGTCATCGATTCCGTTCAAGGGAATGAAGGAACTTTTGGAATGTCTTCTCTTGCTACAAGTCCACTTCCTGTTGCAGTTAGTTCGAGTTCTCATCCGTTAACTCCGGACGGGTCGAATCAAAATTTTTTTTTTGCTTCTCAACCCTCTGATCCTCAACGTAAAGAAACAAACACCTCAGAAGCACAGACAAACAACACACAGGCTAGACTGAAAGATCAATTACTCAGGGGAGTGTCGAACCCGGAAGAACTGTTTCACGAGCAGAATGGATCTCTAATGAAGCTCGGAAATGGCTTCAACAATTTTAGAACAGGAAGCGGATCTCGGGACGAGAGCACCGGGACACCTACATCTCATGGTTCTTGCCAAGGTAGTCCTGCAAATGAGAGTAATCCCCTTTCTATTCACCACCAAGAACAATGTGTAAGAAGAGGCTCTCCTGAAGCAGCAGCCTTCCATCCAATCGACAAACCGAACACATCGACACGTGCTTGTCCAGTTCCCGATACGCTTCTGATGGTTGAGCCGAAGGAACCGTTTGGAGGGATGCTGATTAAGGATGCAGGAAGCTCTAAGGACTTGAAGAATCTTTGCGCTTCGGTTGCCGATGCGGTTCTCGACGATCAAGTACCCAAATTTTGTTGGCCCAGACCTTCTGATATAGCTATGAGACAACCTATGGAGTCTGTTTGTCACACAGTCCCTCATATATCAGCGAGGCAAGAACCAAGTAGAATGACTATCAAGGCCACTTATAAGGACGATATCATTCGGTTTCAAATTTCCACGTGTACCGGTATTGTGGAGTTACAAGAGGAAGTAGCAAAGAGATTGAAACTAGACATCGGTACGTTCGATATCAAATACATGGACGACGATCGTGAATGGGTTCTTACTGCTTGCGATGCAGACCTACAAGAGTGTGTAGATATCTCAAAAGCATCAGGTAGCAACATAATAAGATTGTTGGTTCATGATTTATCTGTCAATCTTGGGAGTTCTTGTGAGAGTACTAGGGAGTGACAATCGATCGGGTTGTAGATATCGATAATCGGTCGACTTCCCATCTCCATAAACTGTATTTCTAGCATTAGGATGTGAAGATTAGATGTAGGTATTGATATTATTTCGCTCGAACTGTATAAATTTTTTCATGTGAATTGTATTGATTCTCCTCGCAAGGTTTTTAAACCCTGTCCATTAGGGAGATGTTTTCACACTAAGGAATGTTTCATTTTATCCCCTTGGAGCCAACGTCCTTATTGCCACACCCTCCGATGTCTGACTTTGATATCATTTGTAACAGTCTAGACCCACACTACCTGGTGTCTGGCTCTGATACTATTTGTAACAATCCAGACCCACTAGCAGATATTATTCTTTTCGAGTTCATACTCTTATAAAAAATGTTTTTTTTCCAACCAACGTGGAATTTCACCATGCATATTCTATATTAACTCATGTATTTTTTTTTATATGCATAATAATAATTTTTTTTAAATATATTAATTAAATTATAATATATATTTTTTCTGATTTAAAGTTTCATATTCTAAAGCATAATTCCACCATAAGAGAGAATCGAAATCATGATTTAATGGAATTGGAAGGTTCATCAATCTTTTTCCCCATTATTATGAATATATTCTTTTTGTCAATTTATATACTTAATTATCTTTTTTTTATTTTATTTTTTAAAGACTATTTTACATTGCTGTTGGGAATTATTCTCTTGATTTTCAACTAAAAAGGGGGGAAAAAAAATCTTGCTCATTAATTTACTTCCACTTATTTTAATTAATTGTCTATTAAAAAATAAATAAAAAACTTAATAAAGTAATTAATGATTTATAAAATATTTTAAAAACCATTCCCATCTAAATGAATAATATCTTTTTTAACTTTGTAATCTTTCCACTGTAAATCGATGCTCTCTCTTTTTTTATTTTTATTTTTATAATAATAATTTGATTCTTTGAGTAAAAACTAAGACATCTTTTCTCAATTTGAAAGCCAAAAAGTACCTTTAAAATTCATTATCGGAACCGAACTAAACCGAATAATTTGTTAGAAATGTCGAGCCTTAAGGGGCCAACCACCTCGAGAGCCAATTGGGGATGAGACCCTTGAGGTTAATCACCATGGGTCAGCCACGAACCTTGAAGATCCACCTTTGGTTCAGAAGCTACGTTTAGGAGAGAATGATAAGAGATCAACTCAGCCAAACCGTCGAGTTCAAGGTTAGGAATCAAACGATTAGACTCGACTATTAAATCCGAAACTACGAATCTTATTCAACCAAGATCATGTTTTTTTTTTTTCTCAAGTAACAGCCTTACAGCACAGACATTCATTCAATGAAGCAATTAACAACACAAAGAGAAGAAAAACAATAAATGAGTTCAGTTGATAAAGAGAAACAGAAAGGGCTTACTCCAATTAAAGAAATAAAGAAAGAAATAAAGAAAAAACTAAATCAACTCTATACATGATCTTATATGTTACAGAATGTGCATTTTGGATCACTAAAAGCAGCTCCAATATTCATGGAAGACTATCCATTTCAGATTCTAAATCCCAAACCTGACCACTTTTTCGTTGTCTCTTTCTTGGTCTTCCTTGAGCTCGGGTCGATGAGGTTCTCCAAAGACTTTGCTTTCCGGTTTCGGGTTCGGCCTGCTTCCTTCAGGAGCTCAGCCAGTCTCCTCTTTTCATCTTCAAAGTCGGGATTCGCAATTCCGAGCTTTTCTTCTCTCAACTTGAGAACAGATTCCAATATTTCGATAGCATCGTCGACTCTGCAATAGATTCATAAGAAACTATTAGATAAAGCTTTAACTGTTCAAACCCACTGCCAGCAGATATTATCTTTTTTTGGGCTTTCCCTTTCGAGCTTCCCTTCAAGGTTTCTAAAACACGTCTGCTAAGAAGAGGTTTTCACATCCTTATAAAGAATGTTTTGTTCTCTTCCCCAACTGATGTGAGATCCCACAATCCACCCCCCTTCCGAGCCCAGCATCCTCGTTGGCTCGTTCCCTCATCCAATCGAGGTGGGTCCCCCCAATCCACTCCCCTTCGGAGCCCAGCATCCTTACTGGCACACTGCCTCGTGTGCGTTGATACCATTTGTAACAGCACAAACCCACCACTAGCAAATATTGTCCTATTTGGGCTTTCCCTTTCGGGCTTCCCCTCAAGGTTTCTAAAACGTATCAACTAGACAGCGGTTTCCACACCCTTATAAAGAATGTTTCGTTCACCTCCCCAACCAATGTGAGATCTCACAATATTAATACCCGAGATAGTAAATTCCCCATAGCTTTAACATACGACTTCAAAGATATTTGAATTTATAACTTGACCTACAACCGGACCAAGCTAGGCGGTTGAGCTCCGGGCGAGCTATACCGAACCGAATAGGTGTAATATGATAGGTAATGGCAAGAAAATAGTTAAAATAATTTGAAGTACCTGCCCATAGCATCATAAGTTGCAGCAAGGTTGCTATAAACTCCAATGGTATCTTGATGACAATTGCCACACTCCTGCTCCAAAATTCCTCTTGCTTCTTCAAACAACTCAGCAGCCTCATCTATCTTGAACAACTGCACACAAGCCAATCCCATTTGGTTCAAAACAACCCCGAAGAACGCAGATTTTCTCTCCCCGGTGGTTCTAAGTTTCGATATCGAACTCTCGAAAGCGCTCCTCGCATCCTCGTATCGTCCAACCATGTAGAACATCACTCCCATTCGTGCTTCTATCCCAGCAATCGTGCTTTGCTGTCCCGGTTTATCCTCCAACATCTTCATTGCCTTTTGTAAGAGCTTCAACGCCTCCTCAGGCTCGTCAACAGACTCGTAAATCGCTGAAATTTCTGTTAATCCACCAGCAATTTCTTCGGGTGAAGTTCCCGGTACAGGCTTTGAGTATATCCTCATTGCATTTTCGCAATACGATTTCGACTCCCGGAGCTTTCCAGTCCGGTGATAAAGGTCAGCAAGGCGAATGAAAACAGAGGCAACCAGAGGATGGTTGTCACCCTTAGATGCTTTGAATACAGTGAGCGCCTTCTGATACGAGAAAACTGCCTCGTCAAAACGACATAGAGACATGTAAATATTTCCAATGCTGACATCAATGGCAGCAACCTCACTGTCTTGTCCATTTGCAATCATCGCCATACTAGCCAGGACGAGGTGCTCAAGCGCCGATTCATAATCACCTTTTGCCTCACAAATAAGCGCCATCAGTCGACGGTCAGCTGCTTCTTCAAGCGACGCAGGCTCACTATGCGCATGATGAATCTCGAGAGTTTTCTTGCACAATTCTTCCGCCCGATCAAATTGCATTGCTTGAACGTGTGCTTCTGATAAATACCTACATATAACATGACATTCTCCATGGTTATTCTCAACGCCTATTCACATTAACTCGATCCACAAACAACCATTCTTCAGAACTATGAACCGAGATAACTCCGAACAATAACGGGTCTTCACTCGATTAACAGGACATCAAACAAATACAAGCTATGAAACTCGCAAAAAACTAGTCAACGATTCGTCTCTAGGCCAATATAATCACAAACAAATAGTTAGTTCAGAGATCCACCTGAAACCTCAACACAAAAAAACACATAATCTAACACAAAACCAGTGTCACACAGCTGAGGATTCATAGGGAAAGAAGCAAAAAGTTGTCTCTTTTTAACGGTAAAGTCACAACATCAGCAGATCAAGCACAATCTCAAAATTAACCTTAAACTCTTCCAAAATTAACCTTAAACTCTCCAAAACTAACCTTAAACTCTCCAAAATTAACCTTAAACTCTCCAAAATTAACCTTAAACTCTTCAAAATCCAGCTCAAATGCCACAAATTCCCACAATTTTGGAAAGACAAATCTGCATCTAATATAAGAACAGAAGAAACCAAACCTGCAAGTCTCTCCAACTCTGGGATCCGTCTCACCCAAGGCTTCGATCTGAATCTTCAAGCCCTCTTCATAGCAACCAATGGAGCGCTCGATCTGACCCAGCATCGAATACGTATCACCCAGCTGCATATGGCCGGAAAAAGCAGCAAGGGCATGATCCGGCCCTCTCCCAATCTGAGGGACTTGAATCGCCTGTTCCAGAACCGGCACCGCCTCCTCAAACCGACCCAAGCTGCAATAAATAGCGGCTAGAACATGAAGACTCATGGCTAGGTCCAGACTCGGTTCACCATCAACGGCGCACCGTTCGAATGACTTCGATGCTCGGATCGCGTAATCTAAAGCTTTGATCGGGCCATCACCGGATGCGATGGTATCCCGAGCGAGCTTAAGAAGAAAAGGACCAAGATCGGGGTTGTCCAGAGAAGAATCCGGCGGAAACAGAGCCGCTGTCGGACTCTCCGGTTGAAGCTTCTTCTTCCCGTTCGGCGAAGGCTTAGATCGGGAAGGAGAAGGAGAGGGCTGTTTCTTTGTTAGAGGCGATGGGGGTCGGTGACTCGTGGCCGGCGGCGTGTCGGGAACTGAAATCCGGAGCGGCGGAGCATCCGGCGGGGTTTTGACGGAGACTAAACCGGGCATGGCGGCGGAAAAAACAGGGGAAGTGGAATTGGAAGCGGAATTGAAGAGGGTTTATCTTAGATTTGGGGAAATGGGGATTGGTAATAGAGATCAAAGGAATGGAACAGCCCACCTCGCTGAACCAAATTAAGATGAACAATTTGGGAGTGGGAGTTTGAAGGTGAAGCTGCAGTAGATCAGATGTCAATGACTGTCCTGGCTGTCACAACTCGGGCTGTCGGTCTGCTCCAGTGAGGGAGAGAACCAGACAAAGTAGGTTAGGAGGGTAAAATCGTAATTTCATCTCACTTATCTTTATTCTTTACCTTACGTTCTCATAAATTATTTCCGTTTTTTTCTTCGGGTTGAATAATTCATTTCTTAGATTTTAAATAAAACGTTAGTTTCTAACTTCAAGTTATATAATTCAACCAAAAATAAATTCAAATAATTAATTTTAAGTTATTTATTCAACATTATTTTTCTTTATTAGGGTTAGATATTAGCACATTACTTTCAAAATGTTTCATTTTTCTTTCGTGGATGTAAATAATATTAACCCATTTAATTGAGCTGTTGAAGACTTAGCCCTAACCGATGGAAATTAACATCGAATCTGTGATATCCCACATTGGTTGGGGACGAGAACAAAACACCATTGATGAGTGTGGGAAACTTTCCCCTAGCAGACGCGTTTTAAATGCTTGAGAGGATGCCCAAAAAAGACAATATCTGCTAGCGGTGGATCTGAGTCGTTACAAATGGTATCAAATTTAGACACCGAACAATGTGCTAACTTTCTCGAGTGCCAGTGAGGACGCTGGGCTCCAAAGGGGGGTGAATTGTGACCTCCCACGTTGGTTGGGGAGGAGAACAAAACATCATTTATAAGGGTGTGGAAACCTTCCCTAGCAGACACGTTTTAAAGCCTTAAGGGGAAGTCCAAAGAAGACAATATCTGCTAGCGGTGGATTTGGGTCATTACAGAATCAGTAGAGTTCAGTCTCACTTATCATAGCGTCTCGTGATATTAAATGAGTAATTATCACGATATAATATATGTCGTTCATATTCATACACGAGGTCTCATAATAGATTTTTTCATCACAATTGCATACATCATATACCATCAATCAATCAACGTTTATGATCAAATTAGGTGTTGAAAATTCACTTTAAAAAGCCATGAACAGTTTATCAAAGAATTTTTTTGACTCAAAGTTATTTTTCGACCTCGTATGGACAATCCAAACTAGCAATATTTTTTTCGAGCCTTAATTTAACCGACCGAAACTCTCCGTGACAAGATTCGAAACTCGACCCAAGAGTTTTAGTCGAATAGATAATGTTTTAAAACGATCATTACCCATGTAAACTCACCGAAAGGGGCTCGACCCCTTATTGTACAATGCTCTAAATTGCTTAAACTTCTGAGGTTAATCACCGGATCGAGGTGGGTAATCCAATCAACACTATCATACTCACTCTTGAATGTAATAGACGATATCATACCAATCAATACGAGTCATTATTAATACACAACATTTTTCACATCCACACCGAGACATCCTTATACATATATTACATAGCAAATACCACTCTTATTTTCCACACTATCTTACACAATCCACAATTATATTTTGAAACCCTAATTTCAGCATCACTTAGGCTCTTCCTCCAGGGTTCCCAACCCTTGGCTCATGTCTTGGGTTATGGCTTGGGCTTGCATAGTCTAACAATTCCTCTGCTCCCAAAAGCTTCCTTACACCTTTCTTTTCAATTATCACCTGCAATTTCAAAGTTCATATCGATCGTGACTTTGACCCGTAATAAGAATATCTATTTGTTATTGAGGGTTTATCACTAACTTGAGCTATCGATATCAATACTAGTGTTTTCTACTATCGGGTCTATAGTTTATACAAACACAATTTTAAGGGTTGTGTTGGGTGAACGTTTGGGTGAGACTCGGTTTGGCTTAAGATTTCACATTTTGTTTACCCTATTCGAGATCGATGAAATTCATGGATTTTTCAATGGTCGTTCATCCGGGTTTTTAAACTTACACTTCAAATGCATAGTTTTTCTATACACTTCGAGTCTTAACGTTGTCTAGGATAAGATGTCGATCTCATGCCCTAAACGTTCATTAAGTTCCAACTTAATTAGAAAGTTGATATATCATGTTTTCAAGGGTTTATCACTAAATTTGAGCTATCGGTATCAGTATCAGGGTTTTCCGCTATCGGGTCTATAGTTTATACAAACACGAATAAATTTTAAGGGATGTGTCGGGTCTAGAGTCAATTTGGCTTAAGATTTCAAATTTTGTTTACCCTATCCAAGTTTAATGAAATTCATGGATTTTTCAATAGTAGTTTAGCTCGGTTCTCAAACTTACACTTCAAACGTAAAATTTTTCTAAATGTGGACGTCTTAAATCATTCCCTTACAAACTTAGAGTCGTATAAGTCTTAACGTTGTCTAGATAAGATGTCGATCTCATGCCCTAAACGTTCATAAAGTTAATATTTTGAACGTTTTTGAAATTCGAAGTTCCAACCTAATTAGGGTTTTCTCACCTGCCCACAAGGGTTTGGTAGCTTCAAACTTTCCTTCAACCTCAGGCCATCAGCATCCCCTACAAAAAAAAAAAAAAAAAAAAAAAAAAAAAAAAAAA